GTGTGTGTGTGTGTGTGTGTGTGTGTGTGTGTGAGAACGTGTGTTGTCCGGAGCTTGTAACCTGGCAACAGCAAGGGTGAAACTCTTCATCCCATAGGCTATCAGGCTCAGAGACTGATTATTTTGTGGCTGTTTGCATCAGTTTGTTGTGGTCAGAGTTCTCACAAAGCACATTATGACAACTCATTTCTTATTCGCAACACAGTTGCATTGCACACTTTTTCTTTTTTTTACCACAGGCTTTGTGTTGTCTAATATATTGGTCTGTGTCTAAAGTTTCACATTCCGAAATGCAAGTAGACAAGAGTCTGTCTATCAGAGCATGTTGGCCTTAATCCAAGCTGAAATGTGCTGCTAGTGTTTTTTTCTTTTCACATGTGCTTTAGTTTGATGCACAGCACTTTATTAGCCTACCTCTGCATCTAGGAGTAATTCTGCAGCTGTTTCTATAAGACATTAATAGTATTTTTTTTGTTTTTACTGGTAATTACCATTTTTAAGCATATTTATTAAGGTTATTAGCCCACTGTCTAAAACTTGAGCTGAGTCTTGTCACCTCATTCTTAAATCATTATCAGACAACATGCATTGTTTATAGTTTCCAATCAGCTGAAAAGTTATTTCTGTCTCATGAGACACAACTGTAGCAATGATCCAGTGCTCACAAATTTCAGAAATTAGCTATATTACAAGGGAAGAAAGCATATAAAAAAGTCTTCAGTTACGACAGATTGTGTTTTCCCCATGCACACAAAAAAGACGCCATCGCAGCGCTGATGCTAGCCGCACTGCAGCAGCTGGATGTTTACCATGCCGTCCGTTGGATCATTTTCCAGCTGCGAATCAACACGTGCTGCTCATGTTTACGATCTCTTTGTCACTGTTTGCAAACACCGAACCTTATTCCGTATCGGCTTTTGTAGCTTGGCGTCTGGAAGAGTTCGGGATATTGTCTGTACTTAAGAGGTTTTTGTGTGTGTATGTAGGTGGGATTAAGCCCTATTTTCTGAGACTCAGGGAGGGCATGTTGCCGGTGAGGTCAGGGATTACGGCTGGGTCGCACAGCATCACATGCATGTGCACAGGCATTCAGTATACAGTGAGTTTATCAGGGAATGATGGGTTTTTTAATACAGAAAAAGTGGAGTAGACGCTTCTTCTGTTTGGATTTTTTCCCTGGTCAGAGTCTGTCTCTTCAGTCACAGTTTGCCAAACCGTGTTACAACGAAGTGCTTCTACTCCAGCCTCACAGCAGAGGTTCTCTCTGCTGTTTTAGATGGTAGTAGGCACTTGTGCCTTTTTAAACCTGTATGCTTGTACAAGCAACTATAGAGGTCATGTACTCAGTCGCATACTTGACTGCTTGCATTCCCCCACCCTTACCTGAAAAACATTCAGCATGGCTGCTATCACAATGGGATTAGGTGAATAACAAGAGAATATCATCGTAAATTAAAGATTGTTTGTCTTGACTAGGATACATGCCGCCTAACAAAGAATCTGCAGACCAAGGACATTCACTTTAGTGTGTTTTTACAAAAGAAATCCTGGATGCTTGGCTGGACGTAAAGGTGGTATTTGTCAGAGAAGTCAGGAAAATAAAAAAAAATGAGTGGACATTTTAAAACAGACATGCTTGTACAAACAGTTCAAGTTTTTGTTTTGCAGCTGACTTTTTGTGTACAGGTGAATGATGTTAAATTCCTTCTATTCCCTGCTAAATGCTAAATAACCTATTCAGCCTATTTGCCTATTTTATGTCTAAACACTACCCAACAGCCTGGTACTCATTAGGCACGCTGTTCCCAAAGGTTTTACACCAAGTTGTACTGCTTTCCCCCATCATCTTTGCTTTAGTGCCAGTCTGACAGTTCCAACTCTTTGAGGCTGCGGTTATTTTGCAACGCGGTGCATGACCTCTGTAGAGCATGCATGTCAAACTACAGGCCTGCAGGCCAATTCCAGCCAATGTCACTGTTTTATCTGGCCTGCAAGATTATTTTTTTAAATGTACCCGATGTGACTTGCAGGCTCCTCTTTCCATATTTCCCTTTTGCCCCTTAACTTCCATAATATCAATGTCGAGGGCTAGTAACTGAAATGAACTAAAAGTAAGCCAAGAAGAAATCACAAGTAGTTAATCCAGATTATATGTTGGTGTCTTGTTTAAGACTGTAAAACCGAGGTACCTTAATCTCATTTCAGTTATGTAAACAAAAAAGGCAATAAACCTGCAAACACCCTGCTAATTCTTGCACTCCGTTCAGATAAAAACCATAATCGTTAAAAATATTGCAAATAAAGCATTTCTAATGTTTTTTATTATCTAAAAAAACTATGAGGCTCAGTAGAATTTATTTAAACCTTTATTTCACCAGGCAAAACATTAAGAACAATATATTTTTTAAAAGATTGAATTTTAGTTATACATCTGTGTTGTTTAAAGACCATAAATAAACCCAGATGTTGAGACATGAATTACTGAGTGTGGCTGTCAACTGTCTAACATTCAACAATTTTTATTTTATTTTTTATCTTCAGTGGACTCATAGTATCAGATAACACTGAGAGCTTTATAACCTGTTTACAAGCTTTGTAGTTTTTTTTAAATCATCCATCAAGGACTCAGCTGCAGTTTGACAGAACAAATATTACAAAACGTGTCACAGTTGCTGTCATCAGCACTTCGGCCGTGGGAAAATCCACATTCTTACTTTTCTGAATTATTGCTCCGGCAATGAACTTCTTAGCTGTCAAAAAAAAAAAAAAAAACTGTTGTGTCGACTGTCTGTTGCCTTTTTGGCTGTTGAATTCATTTTCACTTCTGAATCTGCTCTATTTGTTCTTAGCTGAAGCTGTGGCAGAGATTGATCAGCCCAGAGTGGTGCTACAGGTAGAAAGAGATGCAGAGTGGTTTGATTACATGATTACACATCTGTGAAAACACTAAACAGTAGTTAGGACAGGCAGATAACAAGTGCTGAAATCCACCATTTAGTACCAAACACATCAAATTAAATTCTCAATTCCTTACAGGCAACCTATTGCATCTATGCAATTATGTTTTTGATTTCCAAATGTGATTGAATCCTTTTTCATAAACTATTGTAACTTTCCTACAGAAAGAAAACTTTGAGTACACTGGTTGGAGTTCTATCAGGGTAAAACCTGCTCAATCACCACAAAAAGGTGATGGGACTCCATGACAATGGTCTGATGCTTGTGGCATTAAATTAGAGATCTTTTTCCACCACTTGGGTCACTGCCTGGCCCTGAGCAGTCAAATGAAAAGAATTCTTGGGGACCCCTTTATGGATCCTGAAAAGCTTAGAACACTTGAGTGTTTCCTACCTTGTGTCCATCATCTGAGCAATGCAGAGGTTTGATTAAAGCTCAGTGTCTTTTTGGGGA